CCTGCTTGTGCTCTCTGTGTCGTTCTCTCTCTCTCTCTCAAATGAATAAAGAAAATCTTTAAAAAAACAATAAAGTGGGCTTCTTATAGACAACACACAGTTGGATATTTTTTGATCCAATCTGACACAATCTCTGTTTTATAACTGATGTACTTAGACCACTGATATTCTAAGTGACTACTGATATTTTTGGATTAATATCTACCATATTTGCTACTGTTTTCTATTTATTGCCCTTGTTCTTTATTCCTATTTTTGTCTTCTACTCCTTTTCTCTCAACACTTTAAATATTTCACCTCTACTCTCTTCTTGTTTGCATGAGTTTCTAAGAAGTCATGTGCAATCCTTGTCTTATATCCTCTATTTTTTTGCTTTGGCTTTCAGGATTTTTGTTTATTTTTGACTTTCTATAATTTGAAAATGGTATCTCTAGGTGTAGTTCTTTCCGCATTTATCCTACTTGGTATTCTCTGACCTTCCTGGATCTGTGGTTTGGTGTCTGATACTAATTTGGGGAAAATTCTCAGTCATTATTGTTTCAAATATTTCTTCTGTCCCTTTCTTTCTTCTCATTCTGTTATTCCCATTAGACCTATGTTATAACTTTTATAGTTGCTCCACAGTATTTGGATATTTTTTTTTTTTTTTCAATCTTTTTCCTTTTTGCCTTTCAGTTTTGTCAGTTTCTACTTAGATATCCTCAAGCTCAGAAATTCTTTTCTCAGCTTTTCCTTTTTGGTTCTTTCTTAGAATTTCCACCTCTCTTTACATTGTTCATTTAATTCTTCCATGTTCTCTACTTTCCCATTAAAGCCCTCAGCACATCAATTAATCATAGTTTTAAACTCCCAATCTCATAATTTCAACATCTCTGCCATATCTGAGTCTGGTTCTGATGCTTGCTTTGTCCCTTCCAACTGTGTTTTGTCTTTCAGTATATCTTATAATTTTTTGTTGACAGGTGGCACATGATGTGCTGGGTAAAAGGAACAGCTGTAAATAGGCTTTTAGTAATGTGGCAGTAAGTTGTGGGGGAAGGGGAAGTGTTCTATAGTCCTAGGATTAGATATCACTGTTTTATTGAGCTGGTGCCTCTGGACTATAAAAGTCAGACAACCTTGTCAGTTATTCTCTCCCCCCTAGTTTGGACAGGATGACTACAGCAGGTTGGGATTGGGTGTCTTCCTTCTCTCAAGTCCACTGGGCTCTGATAAAACTTGAGCAAGTTCAGTTCTGGTTGAAGAGTTTCTCTTGAGGGCAGACCTTGTTAAGAGGAACAGGATACTCTGGCATATTTCAAAATGGTTTCCCCTATTGTTAGCACAAGGGATTTTGCTCTGATACTCATTGTGAGAACCTGGTAGAGGTCCAGGAGGCAAAACTCACAAAAGCACCCCCACTGACTGGGTTCCCTGGAGATTTTATATCTCAGACCTGTCTACACTGAGCCTCTAATGATTTCTCAGTTGTAGTTCAGGTTTCCAAACACTGGCACTGATTCCTACAAAGGTTTCTGCTAAGTTGGGAGTCTCTGTATTTGCCTGTTAGTCTCTCCAAATTTAGGGGCAGCAGCTTATTCTGTGATGTCACTTCTCCTACAGGTATAAGAAGAGTTGTTGGTTTTTCTATTTATTCAGCTTTTTACTTGTTCAAACATAGTGGCTTCCAAGCTTCTTATATGCTGAACTGGAAACTGGTAGTATTCTTTTGAATATTTTTATATAAAGGGTCATGTGATCTGTGAACAGAGATAGTTTTACTTCTTCCTTTCCAGTTTGGATGCCTTTTATTTCTTTTTCTTGTCTAATTCCTCTGGCTAGATACTCCAGTAGAATATTACATAGCAGTGGTAAACATGGGCATCCTTGTCTCATTCCTAATGTTAGGAAGAAAGTTTTTGTTTGTTCAACATTGAGTATGATGTTAACTGTGGACTTTTCATAAATATCTTTTATCATGTTGAACATGTTTCCTTCTATTCCTAGTTTTCTGGGAGTTCCCATTTTGAAAGGATGTTGGATTTTGTGAAATGACTTATGTGCTTCAATTAAGATAATCATCCCCCCTTCCAGGTCCTATTAATGTCATGTATTATATTATTTTTTTACATTGAACCACCCTTATATTCCTGAAATAAACCACTGTCATGGTGCATAATCGTTTAAATATGGTTTTGGACTTGGTTTGCCAGCATTTTGCTGGGGATTTATACATCTATATTCATTACAAATACTGGTCTGTAATTTTCTTTTCTTGTAATGTTCTTAATATGGCTTTGGTATCAGGGTAATGCTGACCTTAAAGGATGAGTTGAGAAGTACTTCCTACTCTTGTCATCTTTGGAGAAGTCTAAGAGGGATTGGTGTTCATTCTTCTTTAAATCTTTGGTTTAATTCACTAGTGGAAGCATCTGGCCCTGGACTTTTCCTTGTCAGAAGTCTTCTTATTACTGATTACATCTTTTTGTTATATGTCTATTAGATTTTCTATTTTTTTTCTTGAGTCATTTTAAGTAATTTGTGTGCTTTTAGCTAACGGTTTGTCAATCTTGTTTATCTTTCAAAAGAATCAACTTTTCATTTCATTCTCATTATTTTTCTATTCTCATTTTATTTAACTCTGCTCTAATCTTCCTTTCTTCCTTCCTTCTGCTAGCTTTGAGTTTCCTTTGCTCTTATTTTTCTAGTTCCACAAGATATAAAATTATGTAACTGATTTGGGAGCTTTCTTCTTTTTTAAATATAGTTATTTACAGCTATAAATCTCTGAGCACTGCATCCAGTGTGGTGTTTTCATTTGATTCCTCTGTAGGTATTTTTCTAATTCCCCTTGATTTCTTCCTTGATCCACTGATTAAGGGTATCTTGTTTTATTTCCACATATTTTTTAACATTCCAGTTTTCCTTATGTTACTGACTTTTGGCTTCATTCCATTGTGGCTGGAGAAGATATTTTGTATGACTTCAATCTTCTTATATTTTTGAGACTAGTTTTGTAGCCTAACATCTGGCCTATCCTGGAGAATATACCATGTGCCCTTGAGAAGAATGTGTGTTCTGCTGTGTTGAGTGGAAGGTCTAGTTGGTTATAGTGTTGTTCAAGACCTTTTTATCCTTACTGATCTTCTGTCTATATGTTCTATGCATTATTGGAAATGGGATACTGAATTTTCTGTTATTCATTCCTACAGCCTTTTAGAATGGTCAAAATAGGTTTCAAAACCAATTCAAAATAGGTTTACAAGAAATTAAACCAAGATATTCCAGTTTTAGAAAATATCCTCAAGAAATTATAGTATGATAACAATCACAGCCAACTTGCTGAGCCTTTACTTTCTGCCAGGCCCTGGGCAAAGCATTTTAAATGCATTAACATTGGGTAGTTCTATTATTATCTCAAATTTATAAATGATACAAGTAATTATGCACATTTGATTAGTCAGTAAATACATGTGATTCAAAGCTTTCAGAGCAGCAGTGTTTATTACAGAAAAAAAAAGCTGACTAGTGGCTAGAACGTGGCACTGAGTTAGAAAATCCATATTTAATAATAATCTATATTTAAACTATACTTTATCACTTATGACTACATAATCCTTAACTCTTTTGGGTCTCAATTTCCTCAAATGCAAATAATCTCTAAGATTCCTTCTAGTCTGTACTTTATGATTGTTTGTTACCCAAATCACCAAAACCAGTGCTGGAAACAAAACAGTCCCTGACTGAAAATTATTTGAGACAGTAATGTAATGAGTTCCATACACTAATCCTGTTACAGAAGCATAAGTACATAGGAGAAACACCTCTACTTGGGAAAGCTGACCAAGACTGTGCAATCATGATAAAGCAAAAAATTAAAAACAAATAAATCAATCCCTAAAATAAGAAATAAAATCTAGAGTTTATATATAGAGAAAACTCATTTGCAACCACTAATATTCAATAGTCAGAGAAAAAGTTCTGACCAATTCTACATTCATTCATTGATTTAACACAGTTATTAAACAAGTATTAAAATCTGGCCCTGAGCCAGGTTAATACTATATCTACATGTTTTCAATAGGTTTGGTCACAGTTTAGGCAGGGAGACATTTTGTGGATAAATACAATAAAAGCTATGCTAAAGTTATTAACAGAATTCTATAGTAGCACAGACTCCCTGAGATGACATTCAACTTGATTCTTACATTTGCCAGATGAGTAAGACTAGACTGTGCATGGTTATGCAAGTAGAAGGTGTAGGTGAAGGCTGGTGGACAGCACAGAGGAGATGGTTTTGCTAAGGTCAGAGTGAAGAAAAGGCAGGCATCATATTCAAATTTTAATTTAGTGTTGTAGAAATAGGATGTCAATTTAATCCCAATTCTCTCACTTTGACATATACATTATTATCAAAGCTAAGAGTTATTGAGCGCTTTACATATATATGCATATACTCCCTACATAAAACCAGTAAGATAGGGTTTTACAGATAGGAAAATTAAAGTGGAGGTTAAATGTTTTGTCCAGCATTACATGGCTAGTAACTGATGAGGCTAGGAGGTAAAACCAAGCAGTCCAACTCTAAAGCTGACACGGATTTCCCTTGCTAAGCACTTCTGCTCAGATGTGTTGGCCCATGCCCATTATCATCTCATCCCACCTAACAGAAGTATCTGCAGAGCTATCCTTGAGCCTCTCCTATGTCATTTATAAAATAGAGGGTCTGGTTATCTAATCATGCCCCCCAATCTTGTCCAGGTGTGCAGTCCTTCCTAAATATTTTGAGCTCTTTTCCAATAGATTTCTTCTCCGCACTAAACACAACCTTCCCTTTCCTTCCAGAATGATGAGGAAGTCTACATCAGCTTTCTACTAGTAGGAATGAGAATTAAGAATACTAGGTTTGAAGGATAGCTAGTTTTTACTCCACGTCAAAGAGAGTACATAAATTAACACTCCTGTTAAGCCTAAAGAGAAGAAAATTAATTCAACTTCACAAATGTGAAATCAGACGCTACCTTTAGTCCCTCCAATTCATTTTCCAGTTGCTTAGAATAGTGCTCGCTCTGTTCACGCAGTTTCCTGTCTTTAGATGCTTCAGCAGCCACAGCTTCTGTATGAACTTCCAGCTTTAAAATAAAATTAAAAGAGCAGATGTCATGGTTATAATTGTTTTTCCAATAAAATGCTTTTCCCCATGGGAATTTACCTTATAACAAGAAGATAACTCAAATGTTGAAATTCGTATTTAATAAAATAACCAAACTAAAAAAAAAAAAAGTTTTCAACAATTAAAGAAGGAGATATACATTATTCCACTAATCTGAAAAAGCAGCTTTAATCACTACCCCATGGGCACTAGAAAATCTGCCTGACTACTAACCTCTTTTTTGGCTCTCTCTGTTCTGCGCAGTTCTTGCCTTAAGCTTTCAACTTTTTGCATCACCAGGTCCACCTCTTCTTCCTTATCTCGGACATGGCGAGCAAGTTTCTGTTTTTGGGTGTGCAATTCTGTTAGCCGCTCATTGATCTCCATGAATTCCTGCATGGCCAGTTTCCTCTGACAGTGTGCGTCTTTCAGCTCTTTGGACTGGTTTTTTAATCGCTCACTAGCCTGGACTAGTTCCTACAGTTTTGTAAAAAGAATAAAGTTACCAATTCTGCAACCTAGGGACCAATTTTGGCCATCAAAGTAGCTATCATGAAGTCAAGAAGAGCCAAAATTATTCATCTGAGGACAAAATAAAAGAAATCAACTACTTCTGAACAGATATGAATAGCAGGGTGCTCTGTTATTATTCTCGATTCCTGATGCTAACATGCTAACTGTGATGAACAGCTGATTTAATCTGCCAGTATCTTAGATTCTACAAATAAATAAAGAGTATAGGAACACCAGATACGATGGTCAAAATAAAGGGTATGTGCTATGGTGAGTGCTGTGAATTGTGTAAGACTGTTGAATCACAGACCT